CTTTTTACAGGGTTTTTCTTTTTTTTTTTTTTTTTTTTTTTTTTTTAAATTGGTAGCAAAACTGCCTTAAACAAGTTGAAAAAAATACCCTGGGGAAGCAATAACATTGGGGTACCAAAAAGATTAGTCTTCTGAGGTTAAAAGAGCAGTGCCCAAGGTCTTACCAAACCCCTCCAGACAAACACAGACAGTGAAACCAGTACACCCTAGTTTAAAACCACACATAAGAAGAATTTAAGCTAAAACGTTCCCAAACACCTCCAGGAGGAAGCTGGCAGCTCACACACGCCCCTCTCCCCAGTTGTGCCCCCCAGCCTCCGACCATCTTTGCCATTTCTCCATGAGGTGGCACCAGCCACCCCATCCAGGTGCCACAGCCTGGCTTTCAGGGTGACAAACTCTTTCTGTGCCCTACAGCCCATAAGAGGCCCCCAGAGCTCAGGCAGGGGCTCTCAGCACCCCAGCGGCACCCAGCAACGAACACAAAATACGACGGTTGCCAAAAGAAGCCCTCGACCCCCCCTGCAGAGCATCCCTCCCTGGCCACAGCAGCAGGGACATGGAGAGGTGCCCCCCAGCCTGGCACAGACCCTCAGAGGAGCCGCCCTCCCTGGGTGGGCAGAGGGAAGAGCTGCTGGATAAATCCCTGTGACTGTGCAGATAACCAGCATCAATTCACACTCCTCTCTGACAGTTAGGGGAAAGCATCACGGCAGGGAAAGCAACACCTAAACTATTCTGATTTGTGCCCCTTAAACCAAACAAATCTCAGCAGCAGTCTGCAGCCAGTGCTGGGCTGAGGGGCCAGCACCACATCCAGCCCTGGCAGCAGCCCTGGCGCCCCTAACACAGCTCCTGCCAGGTGGAAAGGGCTCAGCAGGACCATGAATCACAGCCTCCCATAGTGGTTAGGAGCAAAGTGCTTCTTTTAAATATGACCAGTTTAACAGGTTAGACAAAATGACTTCAAGAAATGTTATTGTAGGTTCCCTCTGCTTGCAGAAAGCCAGGCAGGTTCTGAATCAATCGGATGGTTTATGGTTTCTAAGCTGTTAAAATGTGGGATTTTCTCCCTCAGCCTCAGCACCCAGCCTCAGCACGGCCATTGACTTGTCCATTTTCTTGCCTCTTCCTCAAACATGTGCTCAAAGACCCAGGCAAAGCCCAGTGCCATGGCCTGTGACCCAGCTGGGCTATTGAGATGGTCCTCAGGCTTCTCCCAGGCTCTGCACACCCAGAGCTGGACAGAGCAGGTGGCTTCAAGCCAGGCTTGTGACACCCCAGGCTCAGAGTCCTCCGTTGGTGGCTGCAGCAAGCCTCCTCTGAGCAATGAGCAGAGGATGTGCCCATCACCCTGACCCTTTTTTTGGTGCCTCAGTTGCTCACATACCCATCTGAATATGGGGCAATCACCCCACACTTGTGATTTTCAAAGATGACTTTTACAACATAAATAGCAGCTGCCTTTCCAGACTATAAAGAAGCCTTAATAACAATTGATTACCTCAATGCTACAATTACTACAGGCAAATTTTTTTTCCCTCCAGGTAACACCAAACAAACCCCACATTAAGTTTAATTTATCCTGTCCTCTGCTTGTGGCCTTTCTCCTCAGCAGAGCAGTTAAATCCCACTGCAGCATGTGCTGGAATGGTCCTTAGGAAATGAACTCTGGGGAAGGACACCAGTTGCTCTGCATCCAATGATGTAATTAAATGTCAGTTTTAACCCTGGTTATGATTGTCCCACCTCATTGCCACACAGTCCTCCTACCTGAATCTCACCTCCTCTTCCCCTGCCTCTAACAAAGCTCTTGGCAGACAAAAAGCCAGCACAGGGAGCAGGAAGGTCACTCTGAGCCATGCATGTCCCTGCAGAGACAGGCGTTTTGGGGCTGTCACCTGCTTCTTTGAATGAGACTGCTTGTAATTGCTTCACTAAATATTCAGCAAATATGAAACAGCAGTGAAGGTCACACATGCTCATGACACAGGCTTGAAATATCCTTGTACAAGTGCACTGTGTGATGTTCCACCCCAGTCCTTTCCCCTCTTTGCTCCTGAGGCATCAAAGAGAACAGGCAAAGTGTGGCATGTAGGGAATTCCAAAAAAAGTCCTACATCTACAGCCCTCCTGGGAGGGTACTCAAGATGTCAGTCGCCATGCAGGAGCTGACAGACAGCAGCACTTGCTCTTCTAGACTCATGATTGTGAATTAACAACAATTTAAATGCAGCAGCACTTGCATAGAGAAGCAGTTACTGGAAAACAGCATTGCCTAAAAAGACAAAGTTAGAACCTCCCTGACCACGTTTGTCCAAGACTACAGGAGAGATGGAATCATGACAGCAGCATTTCTCTTAGTTGTTGCTCAACCAAACCACCAGCATTTTGATTAATTGCAACAGTGAGCAAACAAGCTCCCCCTGCCCCGAAAAGAATTACTAGGCTTTATAGTTGCAATCTAACTTTACAAGACCCTTAAAGCTTGGAAAGAGACAGGTCACAGGATGGAATTTTTCAGTCACTCAGGAAACAAAGCTGTGACAGGGCTGTCCCCAGGCCACCAGTAAAGCCCTCAGCAAGTGGCACAGTCAGGGATGAGAGGGACCTGTGGGTTCAGTTCTGGCCCAGCACCCCGGCACCTTTCTTTTCTTCCAGAGGAGCTGCTGTGCTGAAGTGGAGCTACAGGTTCAGTGCTTGAGTGTTCACTCGTTATTGGGGAATTTAAGAAAAGTTTTGCAGACTGTTTAGCCAAATAAAGCCCAAAGGAAGTGAGAATCCAGCAGCTCAGGCTGGCTGACAGTGTTACCTGTGTTATTCACCCTGTTACAACATACATCAGGTGATGAACAGATGCTTCCCTCTTACTATGAGATAAATATCTGATAGGAGAAATGTGAAAGTGTAATATCCAAGCTCACCCTAACTGGAACCATTTTACCATTCCTTTCATTCATACTCCACCAAATTTCTGCCTCTGTGACTCTGCACCTCACACACTACATGCCCAGAGCCTGCATGACCAAGCTCGTTTTCATCCCACTCCTCCACCTTTTACTCTAATTGTAATACATAAATAAGATAAAATTGAACCTCCCTATTTTGCAGTCTGAATGGTTCCTACTTTTCTAGGCAAGCCCTGCTCTCCTCACACCCCTCCTGGGTGTGGAAGGTGCTCTTGGGCAGGGTAAGGGTTGTCCTTCCCCTCCCTGCCCTTTGCTCTGCACTGCTGGCTGCTCTGTAATAGCACAACGCTGAGTGACATTTTAATAAAACACGGGGCTAATAAACATTTCAGCAATAGTGCTGGAGAATTGATAATGAACAGATTTATGTCAAATTATTCAATATCTGCAAGCCGTGGCTGCTCTCACACTCCCCAACTGCCAGTCCAGCCCCAGTGTCTGAAGCCCACCGGCGCCCTGGCTCCCCACCCCTCTGCCACCGGCACACCTCGGAGAGCATCTCCCTCTTCCCCACTCCTCAGCAGCTCCGGGGAGGGATGACAGCCATTCAGGGGTTAAAGAGAGGCAGTGAACCCCCAGCTAATGAGTAAGAATTCAGCAGGCAGTGTAAGATAAATGGAGCTTTCTCTGCTTCTGCTGGAGTCAGCATGAACTGCGGCCCTGCGGCTTGTTTGTGGCAAATGGAGTGCGCGAAATATCAAAGGGCAGTGATCCAGAAGAAGACCGACTTTGACAAATTTTAAATTGGCCAGAAAGAAAACCAGAAAAAAAAAAAATAAAATTATGCAATTCACTGTGTCCTGCAATCTTGGCTTTCCTGCTATGGTGCAGAATTAGTGGCAAAACAACAGCAATGATCCCCGATGTTGGGAGCAATTACGAGGCATCTAAGTGAGATGCTTATCAGTGACTGAAGCTTTTAGAGCTCTCTGTATGTACAGTTGTAAGTGACTTGCTCTTGTGTTGCAGTCATTTTAATTAAAGTGTATGGAGTTTGCTGGGAGTAATTACCCTGTAGAGGAAGAGAGGGAAAAAAAGCCTGAAGAGGCTCCTGCCTCCTCACAGAGCGTAGGGTTGGATTTTTGAGATACGATGGCAGAAAACCACATCCCCTATTCCTCCTCGTTTTTGTTTCCAGGGATGCTGGTGTATGTTCCACCGGTGATGCAAGGGTGGTCTGCACCCAGCCCTGGTGATGGACCCTCTAGCAGGGCCACCCAACAGTGACTAAGGTGGGTGGCTGTGCTCCCTGTCTTCCTCCACCGCTTCGGGATTGAAGCGCTCCGGCAGCCCTCTTTGTCTGCAGCCAGGACTCTGCTCCTGGGCAAGGGCTCGCCCAGCAGTGGCCACACGGCATCTTCCCGAGGCAGCAGGGCAGCCTGGCCATCTGCAGTGCCAGCACTTCTCGTGGTGGGGCCAAGGCAAATCCTCTGAGAACCAGCTCCCGCCGTGGTGCCCTTTATCCGCGTGGAGCGGAGCTGACTGCGCAGCATTACTGCCTCCTCTAACCACACATCTGATTGCTCCTTCCCCTGGAGGCTCAGGCAGCTCTCTGGCAGCTCCCTGGTAGCTCCTTGGCATTGGCTGTGGAGGTGCCAACACCCCCTGAGCCATGACTGCGTGAGGAGCCCACCACAGCCATCCCACCCTGGAGTGTGACACAGGCAGAGTGTTCTGTGGGACCCTGTGCGAGGTCTCCAGGGTTTGGTGTAGTCTCACCATCCGTTTGCTCCCGAGCCTAACACAGCTCAGAAGTGAGGTTCTGTGACAAGAATCTCCTGCTTGCAACTACAAACATTACAACTGGTTTTATTCCAGCAGACACAGGCAGACACACCACATCCACGACTCTGGGTATCTGTGTCTGCTCCCCCAGCAGTAATGCAGAATTTACATGAGGAAGATCTGCTTGGGTAAAACTGCTGCCTGGTGCTGCTCTGCAAACCTCAAGCACCTGCTAACCTGCTTCTTGCCCAGAAAGCGACTGGCACAGTGAGAGAAAACAAAGACACTGTCAAAATACTATCATAAAAAAAAGAGAGAAAATGTTTGATGCTACCAAAGACACTTGTAAGAACCTGTTTTTCAGCAAAAGCCGCCTGATTCCTTCCACTCCCTGCACCCTTTACAATTATTATTCTCTTCCCAAGGCATATCAGAATAGTTGCTTTGTATATAAGTTGTTGCACTGCCATAAATTAAAAAAAGCCAAATAATAAAATGTAACTGCTGCAATAGCCACGATTTATCAGTCATTTGCAGAACACTTTTCCTCCTGAAGGATCCCAAAAGGCTTTATAAATTCAAACCATACCCACGTCGCATGCTTCTTCCACTACTGAAATGTAGTCAATTTTGGAGGTAAAAAGAGTCTCTGTAAGATTATATTCTTATAGTAAGAGCCAGTAAAGAACTATTTAAAGAGTCTATTCCCCTGAGAGAGTACATAGCTGCTATTAAGTGCACTTTGCTGAGCACTCTGCATTTTGGGTCACTGGGTGCATCCCAGGCGCTGGGATCTGAAAGGCTCAGTAATAAGTGACACACACAGTGACGTGCTGGTGACTGAGCACTGCAGATCACCCTGGACTTCACTGAGGAGGGGAAGAGTGTTTTGTATTTTCTTGAAACTGAGGAGCAGACAGGTATCATTACTCAAAACTACCTCAGACACCCAGTGCTAGTCCAGCAGCCCAAAACGTCATTGACCGAATTCTTAGCTACACCAAATGACGCCATCTGAAGGTTTGGCCCATGAGCTTTAAGTGAGCTGAGCAATTGCTGAGATGGAAATTAGACTCAGACACCCACAGTGTCTGTTCTAAGACCTATTCTATTAAAAAAAAAAATCAGTTCAAAAGGTCTCTTGCACACAGCCTAGGGATGCTACATGCACTCGAGTACCCTCTCTCACAGGCACCCACGCGCAGCTTGTCTCAGCCAGCCCTCTCCCCAGGTTAGATGACAGCAAATAGAAATTCTCATGAATTTGAGGGACTGCCTCAGTGCCCCCTGGGCAGGGGTGGGGGCAGGGGGAGCAGCTGAGGGCCCCGGGGACGTACCCAGGCGCTCTGCCAGGCGCATGTACACGGGGTCCACCCGCCGCATGGTCTTCACCAGATCCTTCCTGCGGAACTTGATCTCCACCGTCCCCTCGGGCTCCAGGATCCCTCCTCTGAGCAGCAGGGAAAGAAAAAAAAGGCACTTTCAGGTCATCAGGCAAGGGGAAACACAAAACAGAACGGTTCAATGTTATCTGGAAAGTATGTAAAAAGAGGAGAGAAGAAAAAGGGGGGAGGGAAACAAAACAAAGAGACAGAGAGAACAAGAAAGAAACCATCTTAGCTGTTATTTACCCAATGCCACAAACACACACCAGGCTTCACAGAAACACCTCTGTCCAACAGCCTGCAGCACAGCCTGGTCCAAGCACTGCTCTTCAGCAGCCTCTTTTAAGCTGTGACCTGAAAGCTCTTTCAAAAGGTGGGGAAGCTTTATGACAGAAACCAATTAGCCACCTCTTATTTTCATTAGAGATCCTGCCCACTTCCCAGGTCAAAGCTGGAGGGGCATGTGATTTGAAACTTGGGCTTGGTAAATAAAATCACTTCAGTCTTTAAGGGTGAGGGTGGGAGTAAGGATGAGGAGGAAGGTCAGTGCTGGGGGTTACAGAACAGCAGCGGCGATGAGAATCATTACAAATGTGCAATGGTATTTGGGGACAGGATGACATACATTGCAAAATAATCTCTTTCTTGGCTAGTGGAGCTCAAGACCTCTGGAGTCCAACTACAGCTCTGTAAACCACACACAGTTCCTCCTGATGTCTTTGGAAGGTGGGGAGAGATTGCTGGCTTGAGACCACAGATCTCTGTCTCACTTCTTTAGAAGAGAGAGAGAGGCAAGCATCCCATCAGGAGCAAAATTCAGCTGGGAAGGGCAAGGGAAATGGACAACTAGGAAGGGCATCTTCTCAGCTCCTCCCCACATATGCCTTTCTTTTTTTTTTTCTCCCTCCAGAGCAGCTGCCTGGGAATTTTGCCCTGCTGAGATGGTAGGAGTTGAGAGGCCCCCTGACAGCACAATATTTGTGCTGTCCTTCTATACACCTTCCATCTGCTACAGAGAGCCCAGGCAGGGCTGGCTTCTCCTCCAAATGATTCAGTATCTCTGTGTTTTAGAGATTCTTTAAAGTGTCTTAAAAAACCTGCGTCCAAGAGCTGCCTGTAGTTTTGTACCCTAAACCACCAGTCACTAGAACTGTAAGCTGTATTTTATTAGAGAAGTGCAGCCACACAAGTGCCCAAAGGACACACAGCACAACACTCAGGGGGTCTGAAGCACACACTTATTCCCACTTATTTCATTTGCAAAACTGTATACACAGGCACTTGTTTCAAAGCAGTGTGTGGAAATATCAGAACGGTCAAAAAAACCCAAATAAATCCTAAGCACCAACATCTCCCTGTGCTCTGTGAGCGTTAGGAATGAACCTTCACAGAGGCTGGAATGTGCCCCCAAGGGAGTCTGAGACTATCCCACTGGTCCCAGCTGGGATGGGGACCCAGCAAACCCTTTCAGGAACAAACTGCCACGCTTCCTGGCGAGCTTCTCGCTCAGGCTGGGAGCTCTGCCCCAAAGCTGTCAGCTGGTGGGGGGGGGGAGGGCTGCCCCACCTGCTCTCTCTGTCTGCGTAGATCTCCATGTGCCGGGGGTTGATGGTGGGGTCGATGACAGCCCAGGAGCCGCCCCTCAGCTCCGCCTGCGGGGGGATGTAGATCCGCACCGGCTGCCGGTACTCCCGCAGCCCGTCCACGATGTAGGCACCAAACTTCAGCACCTGGTCGTACATGTCTGCAGGAGAAGGACACAGGGCTTGAAGTCAGAGCACGCCAACGCCCCGGCCGTGCCACGCCTGGGCAAGCTGGGAAGAAAACCCCAGAATTATCCAGCTCTTCTGACCACGCTGCAAGCTCTGGCTGGTGTTGTCTGGACCTGGGCAAGATGGACTGGGAAAGATGTTCCCAGGTCAGTCCTGTTCCCAGACACTGCATCTCCAGCTCTGGAGATGTGGCCTGGTGACTCCCAGTGGCACCCCATCTATTCACACAACACGAGCTGCAGGGTCCTCAGTTCACAGCAGCCAGTCCCACACCACACACCCTGCAGATGTCCAAGCCCTTCCTTCCCAGCCAAGACAAGGAGTGCTCCAGCAGCTCCAAAGCCAGGCCAGGTATTCCTGCACATCACAGGAGCACAGCTGCCCAACTTCAGGCTCACTGCCATGGACCTGTGGCATGATCCATGCACTGGCCATGGCTGGCCCAACCCCAGCAGACCTTTTGCAGATCTTTATAAAAATCTGTGTGTGGAAAGCGTGCAGATGTGGAAGAGCATTTCTTTTCTTCTTGCATTCAAATTTGTTTAAGGCATTTTGCTCCAATTTAATAAGAACAGCTCCACTGTGTAAAGACAGTACATTGAAAATATCAGCCCCAAAGGTGATTTAAATCAAAGAGAAAAAGGGAAGGCAGAAGAATTTAGATGAGATGATATAGTTTAGAATGGATATAGTTTTAATGGAAACAGGCACTTTCAAATATATATATTTTGCTACATATAATTATATATAGAAGTATCAAATCAAATACGTAAGAAATGAAAAACACTTATTAGAATCATCTAGTCCATCTCTTTGTTCATGCAGGACTGTATCCTACACTTCCTTCCCAATGCTTTTTAAAGCTTTCATTTAGAAATCCCAGACAATAAATCTACTGCTTCTTTAGGGGCATTTCCACAGCCAAACCCATGAAATTTTCCTCAGTATTCAGCCAAACTTCCCCCCTTCCCCATCCCCATTAATTCTGTATTACTACTCCTTGCCTCACCCCACATAATCTCTCCCCTCCTTTGGGCTTGCTATAAATAGCAGTAGGCAGTAGGGGTTTTTTTTCCCTCAGACACATTCTAGGTACTCATTTCTCATGTCTCCCAGGATGGGATTTTCAATCCCTTCCATAATTTTTGTTCTTTGCTTAGCACCTCCCAGTTTGTCTATTTTTTTTCTGGCATATATTAAAGCACCACAGCAGAGAGCAGCAAACCAGAGTGGGTTACAGATATGTGCCACACACACATGCTGGCCTGCAGGAATAGTCTTAGAAGACTGAGACACTTTTATTCATCTAAAATCCTCACAATCACTTGCCAAAGCCATCACTTCTGGGGGAGAAAGAGACTCCAGCCAAGATCCCCTTGTCATTTAACCCCAGATTAATGTTAATGCTTAACATGAACACAGTTAAGCACTGAACTCTGAGAAATAGACACACTTGCTCTTACATAGATATACACCCACCCTAAAACATATAGAACAAATAAGAGATGTATATAAAGTGTGTGTGTATATATATAAAAATAAGTACCACAGGCACTGATGTGATCTCTCCAGCTCATTTGCAAAGTCATTGCCCAAGTACCCAAGAAAAGGAGTTTCATGTTGTTTAAGAAATGTCAAATTCTGATGAAGAGAAGAACAATTTATTTCCTCTAATTGCAAACAAACATAAATTCTGGCAGAGACAGTGGGGCCTGAGAATCATACAAAACCCCAACCTTCTCCTTTGTCCTGAGCAAAGAAAAAGACCTCAAAAGGGGTGACAAATTTATTACTAATTACACAATTATTTTATTATGTAGTGCTAGTAATAAACCACTTGAAGTACTTTCAGCTAATTCTAGTGTTAAGAAAATAATTGCTTGATTCAAATTATTTTAACGGAATTAATTCTTTACTAGACATTTTTTACTAGTGCTACATAATAAAATAATTGTGTAATTAGCAATACATTTTTCACTCCTGCCAAGGGTATATATTTTACTCAGGTTACGTGTAGGAAAAAGAAGCATCACTTGTTTGAACAAGGCAGAGGGAGGAGGAGCAGAGAAACTGAGAGAAACTTGCTGCTTTCTGTGGATAGCTCCAAACCTCTTTCTGGTTTACCAGCTGGCATCAGTGAGGAGTATTTCTGTGCCTACAGTGCTTCCAGGACCAGACTGTCAAAGCTGTCCAGGTTCTGTACACTGTCACTGTCACTCCTTTTGCAGTACAATCCTGCAATTTTAAATTCCTATTTTCTATATGGATTTACACCACCAGCTGGCTTCTCTTGCAGGCTCAACACTTCCACTGCAGTCTGTGGACCTGCTGCTGCACTCTTGGGCTGTAGATACAGATTCAGACCTGGCTGTAAGCACCTCTGTTGTAGAGGATTTCCTTTTCTCTTATGGTAACAGCTTCCACTAATGAGAGACCAAGTTTTGCTCAAATACAGAGGAGACAACCAACACAGCTGCCACCACTGAAGGGTCCTCACGGTGCCACGCACAGCTCCGGGTCATGGAAGCTGCTGAGCTCCAGAGGTGAGCCAAAGGGGACTGAAGCATCCACAGGCTATGGAGGGGTTCCTGCTCTCCTGCAGGTTTTCCTCTCTTGCCATCTCAACTGTTCAATCTGCCTACACTTACCACTTCAGCAAAGGGGGGGACTCTTAAAGAAGGTGTATTTTTAAGAGGTAAAATATAAGGAGCATTGATGAAAGTCACAAAAATACTGCAAAGACAACCCAAGACACCTGCTTGTAGTCCCCATGCCCAAACACCAGAACACACAACTTCCCTGACTGATGTTAATCTGGCACTTTAGGGTGAAACTATGAAACATTTGCTGTACTGGACACCTGCCTCGTGTTGGCAGTTTTGCTGCATTCCCCACTCTTACGGGGGAAAACGGTGCAGCACATTTCACTGCTGCAGGTGGCAAATGATGCCAGGTCTCACTGCTGCTCACTGCTCTGGGCTTGAGCTGCCTGGGCAGCCCCAGTGCCTTGGGTGTAGACCTTATAACCTGTTAGCAGTGTAACAAACACACTATGTTTAAAAGAAACCCCAGCTGCTTCCCTCATCATCCCCGCAGCAAAGAACGCCACACACGTTTTAAGAGCCGGCTGTTTGGGAACTGTTCTTGCAGAGAATTTGCTTACGTTGAGGCTGGAAGGATTACAATTAAATATTATACTTGCAGGCCAAGTTTAATTCCTGTATTAATTCAACCCTCAGCTAAGAAGCTGCTTGCAGGGCAGGGAGGCTGCAGAGGTCCCCGAGAAGCGCAGGGCTGTCGGACGTTCCGCGCTCAGGGCGCACGTTCCCCTCCCCGCCTGCCTGCTCAGCTGCAGCGTGCTCCAGCACCACACGGGCACGAGAGCTGCTGGAAGCTGTTATCATCACACTCTACGTGTAAATATTGGCAGGCAGATGCGTCGAGCATGCTAGAAAGGCTGCAGACAGCTTTTTGCATTTCCATCGCGTCGGGCAGCGCGCCCTGAACCTCCAAAGCTGGAACGGATCTCATCAGCTTGGCTGGATTATCAGCTAGGACCTGAAGGTAAACACCAGGCGTGTATTGGCTGCAGACACATAATGTCCCCTCATAAACCCATTACAGACAAGCAATACCGTCATGCAACATCCAGGTAATCAGAGATTTAAAACAGCCTTTTCATTCTGCCGGGAGTTTTTTTTATTATTATTATTGTTATTTATAACCTGTCCCGGGAAAAAAAATAATAAGTGAAACATGAAAAGCCAACTGCGAGTGACCCTGTAGCACAAGCAGCGTGGCAGTTTAATGTGGTGGGGATTTGCATGCTATCAAACTATTCACGCCGAGTCCGAGACCCCGGTGCTAATTTCCAGTAAATTTCACGCTTGATGTCTCCCCGTCGTGGGTCACTGCTGGTTCGCCTAAATAAACCACTTCCAAATGGCTCCTCCATCTAAATATTCCAGCCAGTTTTTATAATTTAATTTTGCATTATGCTGAATAGCCTTCTGGCCAGATAGAGCTCGTTGGGGAAACCACCAACACCCCTGCGCGACGCCTTTATTTATGTTATTTAGTTTTTTATTTTACGGCCTGAATTAGAGCTCCCAGGCTGACTAGGGAAGAGGGGGATTTTTTTCTCTCTCTCTTTTTTTTTTTTTCCCCTCCACTAATGTCAATTTTCAGCATAGCAAGAGCTGTCTCTAATCTTTTCCTACTCATTACACACAATTTTGGAGTCATTTTACCCACAGTGCAGTCGGCTCCTGGCAGTGTGTTTGTGTGCACTGAGGGGTGGCATAATTGTTTATTTTCCCTCCCTGCATAATCCCCAGCCAGCACTGAAACCAAAACTGCAAACAACTCCCCAAGGGGTCCAGAGGGTGCCAGGAGAGACCAGAGCTGGCTCTGCACACCCCAGGAGAGGACGAGGGGCAGGAGAACACATGGACCAAGGTGAGGAGCACAGCGGCTCCGCTCCTCCCTCTGCTCCAGCAGCTCTCTCCTCCTGCTGCTGCCAGCTGGGTGCAGAACGTGGGGATGGGCAACAGAACTATTAGCACCCTTGTGGTGCCTTTTCCACCACAGAAGCACAGAATTGGTTTGGTTGGAAGAGATTTTTAAGATCATCAAGTCCAACTGTTCCCCCAGCACTGCCAGGTCCCCACTGCCCCGTGTCCCTCACACCACATCTCCATGGCTTGGAAACCCCTCCAGGGGTGGGGACTCCACCTCTGCCCTGGGCAGCCTGGGACAGGGTTTCACAACCCCTCTGGGTAAGAAATTTCTCCTAATATCCAACCTAAACCTCTCCTGGTGCAACTTGAGGCCATTTCCTCTTGTTCTATTGCTTACTGCTTGGGAGAAGAGCCCGACCCCCCTTGGCTCCAGGCTCCTGTCAGGAGCTGTGCAGAGCCAGAAGGTCTCCCCTGAGCCTCCTTTGCTCCAGGCTCAGCACCCCCAGCTCCCTCAGCTGCTCCTCCCCACACTTGTGCTCCAGACCCTTCCCCATTTTCACTGGCCTTTTCCTGGACATGCTCCAGCACATTGGGCTTCTGGTCTCAACTCCAAAACTAAACTGAGTGTCTGAGGAACTCAGCAAAGGGCACAGGCAAAGCCAACAGAGCTCACAACTCAGAAAGGCAAAACAATATTTAACAAACAGTTGGTAAAGTTACACCAACAAGTTTTCCCCTAAGTTGTGTGGCAGGGAAAGTAAGTCATGAAGGGAGTGCAACAGCAGCAGAACCATCCTGAAAGGTAATGGGTATTTTCCAGAGGGAAGAATGTTCCCAGCTTTTGCCACCTTCCACCTTTGCACCTGCAGCCTCCACGGGCTTGCTTTCTGCTCTGCTGAAGAGACAGTGAGACAGCCTTTGTCACCCTGAGGGTCCTTCCAGAGCAGGAACTCTCCTCATGCCAGCACATCTAACTTCTCTTCTCTGTTTGTTATCTGCTACAGGCAGGTAAGAGGCTGTAATCTTTTACTTATTTAAATTTCATAGGACCAATCTCACATTCTTGGCACTTCACAAAATGCAAAGTAGCAATATGTGCTGCAAAAATCTCACTGCTGGTCTATTAACTGAGTGGTTTTAAAGCTGTTCACTTCCCCTGAGCACCACTACCACCCAAAGAGTCAGCTGGGAGCCAGTCCTTGACAGGACACTACTACAGCAGGAAAAACTGTCACATTTTGAGACAATGGGGACAGAATACACTGATATATTTTTGATATGCAATATTGTTGCCTGACCCCACCCCACAGTGAAGCTGAGGCAGAAGGATATGAAGTTTCCTGAGCAGAAGGGGTTTCCTGAGTGTTTAACTAGCCCAGGTTGGCAGCTGTAAATTTTGTCAGCAACTAGACCACTGTTAACAATCAACTACTTGTTCTCACTGCAGATGAGACTCAGTTGGATTCAATCTTCAAGGTCTTTTCCAACCTAAGCAACTCTGTGATTCTCAGATCTGGCCAGTTCCTGTAACTGTACGTGAGGGTACATATAAAAATCCACTTGCACTGAATATTTGGAAAAGAAGGTGGTCTCAGATTTGCACTTTGCACGTTCTGTGTCACTCCTGCTCTTTGCCTGTTAGAGACAGAGCACACATGGGGAGGAGAGGAATGAAACCCCTGTCACCACAGCCACTGCAGCACAGGCTCTGTCCTCCACCTGGCTGTGCAACCACCACAACTGACTTTGAGAAGAAATGGGCAGAGTGTTGCCATGGCCCCAGAGGGCTGACATGTCCAAATATGCTGGTAGGCCTCAAAAAGCCTCTGCTGGCATTTCTAAGGGAGGTCAGTCACATCTATGCTGTGGAAGAGGGGGGCCTATCAGGGTGCTGAGCCAGCAGAGCAGCTGCCACGGGGTATGTCATGGTGGGGAACAGCAACAGTGCCCTGAGCAGTGAAAGACTCTACAGAACAACCCCAAAAGGGGATCAAACAGCTGGTTACCTTTCATTCCACCAGAGAAGCCTCTCCAGTTAGCGAAGACCATGAGGGGCAGCCCTTCTCTGTTGAAGTCATTGATAGCCTGTGCTGTCTTAAAGGCAGAGTCTGGGAACCAAACCTGACCAGCCTGCTGGATTATCTGTTGGGAATGAAAACAGACTGTTAAGCCTCGAAACACATGAACCTCAGAGTTGGCATAACAACATAGAAACAGATGCAGCAAGAGCTGTGATGTGGAATTAACAGTGAGGAATGCAGCATGTGGGATGCTTATGGTCTGCCTGTCCACAGAAAATCTGAGACAACAAGAACAGAGATGGTGTGGAAAGCCTGACACTATGGCTGTGTGAGACAGTGAAGGAGAGGAGAGCAAAGGATATGCAAAGGAGAAAACCCTGAGGAGATGATGTATGGCCAGAGCTGTGAAATCAGGCAGGAGAAAAGCAAAATGTCAGAGCAGAAAGGCCATGAAATACTAAGGTCACAGCAAGAGAACAGGGAAATGATTTCTGCTTGCCCCATCTCCTGGAGGATGCACCTCCTAGCCCCTGCACCTCACTCAAGTCACAGGAGAAGCAGGAGTGCTGCTGGGGATTGTCTCCTGTGCAGATGGCCAACACAAGTGTCCATTCCCTCCTCCCAGCCCTGCCGTGCATTAGCACCCGGCCAGGGAGCAGCTATTCCCTCTGCCCCACCTTGGGGGAAAAGGTCCCACCAAAGCAACTGCTCTTTCCACAGAGATGTTGTCATAGGACAAACAAGCAACTGAGCACACGTCTGACCCACCTTGGCCTCAGAGTCCAGGTTTGCAGGATCTGCAGGGATGCTGAGCTCCACTGTCCTCGTCTCTACAGCAACTACTCCCACAGGTATTCCACCCAACCTGGAACCACGTCAGACAAGTCAAAATTCCCATTTCTACCGTCACACAACCAGACATTTTTTTTCCAATTTACATCAAAACAGTCAAAAGAGACAAATAATGCAAGCAAATGGTCAAAGAAGCATTCTGGCCTTTTTCAAGAGTTTAGGCATGTGGCTGGAGAATAGAAGCCACAGTTCTCAAAGCAATCTCTAAAACCTAGCACATACCTCACTAAATATTTAATAGAATAAACCCAAGCCCAAACAGCTGCATCTCCAGCACCCTTCCCCTGTCACCACACAGGTTGTGATACTGATGGGCTTGACCATGAAAAATAACCAAGAAGACCCAATGCTTCCCAAGCCCAGCTTCCACAAGCACTGCCAGCTGATGAAATACACCCACAGGCTGCATGTCTAAGCAATGCTGGTGTCTCAGCTGCCCTAAACCTCCACTGCTTACAAAAGGTCTCTCTCCCAAGAGGCTAGAGTGAACGACGGGGAGGAGGTTTGGGTCTGCCCATCTGTCTCCTTGCCAGACCCTCTGCTGCAGGCTGCCTGCAAGGATGGGAAGGGCACAGGGACAGGGGGTGGGCAGGGAGTGCAGGCACAGAGGAGGAGGCTCAGCTCCATTCCCCACAGCATCTGAGCACTCCTTTGCACAAAAGGCAGCTTGCCTGCGATGACAACGGCGTGCTCCCCGGCTGGGAGTCCCAGCAGAGCCCCCACGCTCTGCCCAGGCACCTCCAGTGGGATGACACACCACGGGCAGAGAAAGTGACAGGGCCTGTGTGCACTGGGGGGTTGAAAATATTCCCATTCACTATGATTAAGAGTCTGCCTAGAAACCTGTAATTGCAGAAGCCGTCTTAAATCGGTAACTTATAACTTCGGTATTAGGGCCCATGTGACCTAATAAAGAACATCTTTATCCAAGTATTACAGTTATTTATTGAACTTGAAAACAGCTCAAAACAACTTCTGTTTTCCATTATACTTCATATAAATTTTATCAGGCTAGCACATGAAGATGCTACATCTTGTTTTATAGTGTGTCCCTGGACAAGTTGCCATAGAATAATAAAAGACAATTTACAGCCAACAGCACACGTATTCCAAACATACATACAAAAGATGAGTTTTGGCAGCACTTACAGTAACAATCCCAGAAGAATACATTCCTATTTGTTTTTTTTCAAAATGCCACTGCTTTTGAAAAGTCACTTTCATTTGTATTATATATACCTGCAGGTGAGAGTCCAAAGCAACTTGGAATTTGTCAGAAGGAACTGCCAGTGAAGCTGCACATGGGCCTGGACAGAGACCTTCTAGCTTTGCCAGATCATTGATTTCCAACCCTTTCCTGCCCCCTGGTACACTGTTTAACCTGAGAGCCTCTAAATAATTACAGGATGTTGTCAGATAAAACTGAAAGTGTCGTGGATAGCAGATAAAAACACCAAAAAGTATCACAAAGTCTCAGGATATCCCAAGGTCACATGCTACAATCAGGAGTAGAGTCAGCAGGTATTTTCAGCTCTTCTCCACACTGTGTAAAGGTCAGACAATATTCTGAGTGGAAAGGATGATCCCAAAAGGCAGCACTGAGCTGCACTGCACACAAAGGTCCCTCGGGCTCAGGAGCAGTCTGTCTCTAGCTGGGCTTGTGCAGCCCACAGCCCCCTCCTCCTGCCCTGGCCCTGTGTCTGAGGACATGGGCATGCTTCTCCACGTCACCTCCTGCACCAGCAGAGTCCAAAGCCACTTCTAAACCTACAAAAATGTTAAGTTCTTAAGAAAAGAGCAACAGAGACATTTTGCTGAGCACATCCTCACCTGGAAGCCTCCTTCAGTTATTATGCTGCATTTCATGAACATATTAACAGAGCTCCTGATGGGCATTTTAGAGCTGTCCAGAATGGACCCAATCCTCTGAAACGTTGCACATGAGCTCCAGTGAGTGTCACCAGCTTTGCTACTTCACAGTGTGAGCCCTGCTCTCTGCCCCTCACTGGGAAGACTGGGCAGAGCTGTGGCTTTAAAAAGCCTAAAAGAGAAACAGGAGCTCCCAGTGCCAGGTATTGTGGGGCCATGTGTGCTGTCAACACAGAGGGGATAAGGAACAGCCCTGGTTCATGGCTGAACTGGCTGGGAGCCTGGGTGGCCACCCTGGCTGTGCCCAGGGTGTCAGGAAGAGGGATGCCTGCCTCTGTCTGCCACCAAGTGCTCTGGTAATGCAGCACAGCATCACCAGGGCTACCCTGGTACTACAGTCAGTCTGAGGACTGATGGAGTTCAAACCCCAGGATTTCCAGGAGACTGTAAGCATTACCAGGGAATTTGGTTCTGGCTTGTTGGCACTGTGATACTGACAGCATGGGAGGTGAAAGATCTGTAAATAAAAGATTTTTGTTTGACACAGATTTCTGCCAGGAATTAAGGGACTCTGCACACCCATCATGCATGACCACAACCATATCTCATGACCTGAAGCCTCCAGGATCCCATTCAGGCAATTCAGGGTTTTTTCTGCCCTCTCTCCTTTCTAACAAAAAAAAGAAAAAGCAATCCAAAAAAGGCTGACAATTAACTGAAACCACTGACATCAATTAGGAGCTGGGAGTCTGCTGGAGGCAAGAGGATGAAGCTCTGTCTTGAGAGGAGAGCTGGTGGTAGTGTGAGGAATGAGGAGTGACAAAGGATAAGCACGCTGCATTTGGACAGCTCGAGCACTTGTAGTGGAAACTCAAGGGAGATAAATGTCCTCTCTCAAAATGGCTTTATTCTGAGAGGAAGCAGACAATCAGATCAGGGAACTCAGTGCCATTTGAGGGGGCAAAAATATAAACAAGAAAAGAGGTGATTTGAGGGGGTTCTGTCAAAACACAGGACCCCATCTCCAGGCACCTGCTTCTGCCAGCTCTGGGGGTTCAGGGACCTTCAACACCAAGAATGACCCAGGCTGCAAATATTTGTGAGGCAGGGTTCTAAATCTTGAGGCAACGTGGAGCACTTTAGAACCCTTCTCAGGTGCCACTTGGCAGCAAGGAGAAGTGACTCCTCGTGGGAGACTGTGAGTGCCACTGGTCTCCAGAGCTGCACATCTCTGCCTCGTGAAAAACAACCAATATCAGGTGGGGTGGGTGCTTGTTTGGAAAATGCTGCAAGTTACTGCTCCAGGTTAAGCACTTCTCTCTGCAGGGCTTCTTGCCATTTCCTCTATTTTCAGCTGAGCTTTTCTTACAAGTCAAAATGCAAAACAAACTGTGTAACGTATCCCTAAGTAAGTCAGAGCTGCCAGAGGGCCTCACTGTGCCACCATGTACCTGAGGAAGCAGATATTGTTGGCTGTAATTTTTAACAAAAATCTCCCTTTTTGGTTTTTGTGCATGTTAAAGCTGTCACCTCCAAGCACAGCAGGAGATAGAAACAGATCATGCTTCATTCCTGTGGTAGAGTTGCATCCTATCCAAGTAATGACTTATTTTTACTTAAAACCATCAACTTCCCAAGGATGCTGTAGAAAAAAAATGCAAAGCATAATGAAAACTTATTTCTTCAAATGTCCAAATTAGAATCTACCTTGCTCTGCCAACCACAACTGTCTGTGCCCAGGGCTGCATGATCTCCAGGAATGAGCCATTGTCAAAGAAACCACTTAGCCACTGTCCTTTTTGACCTAAAGGGAAGCAAAAGAAAAAAATATCAGAGGAAGGAGTTGGAAGGGAAGAAAGAAGGGAGAATATCAAAGGAGAAACTGAAACTTGCTTAAAAATGCCAATTGGAGAACGTGGCACTGTCTTTTTATTTATTTATTTATTTTTAAATAGATTATAATACAAGGGAACATTAGACAGCTGAGCATTTGTCTGCCTTCAGCCATCATGTCTTATTTCATTTGCTAGCCTGCATAAAGACAGCAATTTATCAGCAAAAGCATCATTTATTGTTAAACGATGGGGTGCGGATAGCAGAGGGACTTTGCCTGCTCTTAAATAAATAACTCTGTTTTTTTCAAGGCACCACAAACATTTGTCAAAAGGCAGTAAAGTCATTAATGATGTTTTTCAAAATGCCTTTTTCTATTTTAAAAACTTCTCTCACATTTTTCTCTTGATTCTGCCTAATCCTTCCTCTAAAGGAAGAATGCTGAAGAAATCCAGGAACTAAGTATGAACATTTCTATGATATTTTACAACATCTGAGCATGGTCCGTGTCCTTTTGGACAAACTGAAGTACTCTGACACCAAAAGCTCCACAGATGACACCAGATGATGCACCTCTCCCTTAACTAAAGCATGCTTTGAGAGTCAGCCCCCTGCATCAGACCACAAAGCTTCATGAAGCTCTGCAAAAAAACCCAACTCAACCCAACCCAACCCCCCCCAGCTTCCCTCCTTGGCACACAGCTTCTGAGGGATGCTTTAATCCAGCCAAGGACCTCTGCTTCTGCAAACCCAAGTCCAAAACCAATTAAAAGTGGAGATCCAAGCAAGCTAACCTCTGCTGACTTAAACAGGATGGAGAGTGTTTTATCAAGACCAAACTTGTAATTACTGTGTTCTACATTCCTTGCCTCTGTGGCCCCACTGTAAAATGTGACCATCCATTTCAAAATTATCTCTTTATCGTGAGCCCAAAGCTGATGGTTTAGATTCTGGCCTCGTGTCGGGCGTCAGTTTGAAGAATATCACGGCAATATCTCCTCTAATAAATGGCTTTAACTTTTCACCTAGGAGATATCTGCTTTAACTTATCACAGGGAATCATCTGCTTTCCTTAACGCTTCCACTAAATTAAAATCTGAAGTCACTCGATTTGGAAGCCAGCGTTAGCTGCACTCAGACAGCTGGATGAATTACTTGAGAGATGATGAAAAAATATTATCCAAACCCAGAAAACTTAGTTTATCACAAATCTCATTTTAGGCCCCCAAACTCATTAATAACAGGAGGCATAATGGGTCACCCAGTTTGCAGGTTGTATGCACACAGGCTGCAGAACCCCAAAAGCTTGCATGGGGGTTCAGCGGTTTGCAGTGTTTCCAAAACAATTATGCTCCAAGACCTGCAGGAATACTGTGATGGAATACTGTGATTCCTTCAGTGTACAGACCCTTGTGTATGGACTTTCCTCTGAACCACAAAAAATCTATAACAGTAACAAATAATTGCAGGTGTCCTCAAGCACTCAGAATTTACAGGCTAATTTTATATATTATATTCAAATTGCTTAGCACTAGTTACTTGATAAGCTCTGAATTTTTTGGTATTGCAGACATAAAGCCTCAGCAAACAGTCTTGAAAGAAGAGGAATCATTCCATATCTTGGCCACCAAAGATCTACATACTTGGATTTGGGCGTCCAGCCAGCAGCCAGCGAGGGTCATAGGGGGTCTTGGTAGGAACAAACTCTATGGTTCTGTCTATAGGATCCTTGACTTTGAGGATAGGAACAGGGCTGTACACGCTCTAAAGGAAAAAAGAAAAGTCTTGAAGGAAGCAATTCTCCTGCATGGCTCTGCAGTAAACACCAGCTCTGAAGGACATGGTCAGAGTCCTTCCCCACCACTGCACAACCCTTCGACTGATGGGATCCCAGAGCCTTGGCAAGAGCCTCAAGAACCTTCCACGGTGCTCTATACACTTTCTTTGGCACCCACTGGCAAATGTTGCCCTTCGTTTGCTCTTGAACTTCAGGCACAGGCAGCACTAGTGAGGGGTGGCCATTCCATTTCTGCATGGTGACCAGGCCACCTGACTCCTGCTACACACTCCCTCCTGAAGGAAGGTGACCTACGTGTTCTTCTTTTTGCTGCCTTCCTGCCTGCAGAGCAGCTTACACACATCCATCAACCCACACACACTACTGCCTCCGAGGGGAACTTCTGGGGACTCTCCAGTGAGACAGTGCCTGGAGTCCTGAGGGCAGCAGGCCAGGGGAGTGATGTGAGAGCACCTAAGGCAGCACCAAGCTGCCCCGTGTCCCAGTTCCTGCAGTGCTTTAGGACAGAAATGACTTTGTTTACTTCAAGACCATAACATTTAACAGCCTTGATCATGAGCCTAAACCATTTTGCCAGGCACCATACAAAGAGAAAAAACCAGAGAGCCCCCCAGCCCATCAAACCCTGTGAGCAAAGCCACAGGCAGCAGCACCTGACACTCCTGCAGGGCCAGGACTCACCTTTGGCATGTAGGAAAGCCACTGCAGGATGGTGTAGACTCCTTCAAAGTCATCACACACAGTGCTGTGGGTCACCCCATTGTTGTGCATGATCTGGATCCCACCCAGCTGGTTGTTGGAGGTGTACACTTCACGCCCAAGCACCTTTTGAGAGAAAAATGGGAAAACCATCAGTGGGTGGGGCATGACAGGAGGGGTTGGATGAGCCCATCCCTGCATCAAGTCATGATCACTTCAACACCAAAGGATAGAGCAAACCACTCACAATAGACCTTCCCAAGCCCTGTGTGCAGGTAAGATCTTCTGACTAGTGGGAAACTGAGGCAGAGGACAGTTATATGACTTGCCCTTCCCCAAGCAGCAGTGGAGCTGATTCATGACCAAGTCTCCTGGGTGCTGTTGAGAGAAGAATGGGAAAACCATCAGTGGGTGGGATGTGACAGGAGGGGTTGGCTAAAGGGACACACGAGCCCATCCCTGCATCAAGTCATGATCACTTCAACACCAAAGGATAGAGCAAACCACTCACAATAGACCTTCCCAAGCCCTGTGTGCAGGTAAGATCTTCTGACTAGTGGGAAACTGAGGCAGAGGACAGTTATATGACTTGCCCTTCCCCAAGCAGCAGTGGAGCTGATTCATGACCAAGTCTCCTGGGTGCTGACCCAAGCTCTGCTCACTAATTCAGAACTGCTCTGACTGAGACGACTGGTAGGATGGACCCACTTAAACCTTTGACTGGGGAAAAACCCAACATCACACAGAAAGAGAGGTACAGCAAAGACAAAGCCTCACCAGCTCCTTAGAGAGACAGGGAAAGAACAAGACTCTGAGTGCTGGGATTCTAATTCTCTTGCACAGCTCCATCTCTAATCTCAGCCCAGGCTCCGCAGCTCTTTTCTCATTCTCCTGCTGTCTCTTTCCATTTGCCCTCTCCCTGACTGATACACTGATCTCTCGGTCACTCAGCTTTCTGCTCCACTGAGTCCATATTACTAATAACACCTCTGCCACGGCCAGTTTACCTCATGAAGGCAGGAGCACATCATTACAAAATAAACTCATAACTTTGACATTCTAGCAAATACATGCCGTTTGTTATTTTTATGGGTTGAGTCTTTCTAACAGACAGAGGGCATTACATACCTGCTTCATTTAGATCTTAGAAAACCCCCTCAAACACACACAGACAACCTGCCCTCCCCCCAGACACCCAGCACAGCTCATTTGAGGAAGAAGGGCTCCTCAAAGAGAAGAGCAGCCCGGAGCCCAGGGCCACCCAATCCTTGCAGAAGGGATGCTTGGGTCTGACTTCATCCTTCTCCCAACATCCCACAAGGAGCACTCAGGACATAACTCATCTGAGGGGAACTCCCTATGTCTCAGGATGTGATTTTTTTTGGGTTGAAAGTAAGAAGGTACAAAAGGGATATGAAAACAGAGGATTTTGATCTGTTTATAATACCCTGGATCAAAGAGCTTTCCTCCTGCACAACACCAGTTAGTCACAGCCAGGGTCAGGCAGCTCCTGAGCCCACCTAAAGCACTGCCTGACCATGGGCCACAGCACTATCATTTCCTAACTCCAGGTTTATTCTCCTTTGGAGGAAAAAAGGCCTGGCAGTCTGGCACTTCACAAAATTCAGCATTTCCCAAGCACTACATGATCCTCTCTACACTCCCCGTGAGACAGATGTTAGTCGAGACAGAAGAAACCAAGGCATGGAAGTTATGCAATTAGCCCAAAAATTTAGAAGTCATTGTGGTTTTGCAGAGAGATGCTCCTGGGTCTCTCTTTTGAGCTCCATCACCTTCATCTTCCTCTAACAAAATCAGTGCCATGGTAGAAAAGACAGCAGCATAGATTTAGGTTCAAGGAAAAGAAAACCTCAGGGCTCCAGATGCCAGGCACAAGCCTACCTAAATGCCTTCCACAGAGGAAAATAAAAATAAAAAGGATTTAAACTCCCCCTCTATGAACTAATACAAACGTACGTGCATGCAAAGTGGGCCTCTGCTGCAGCTTATCCAGAGACACTGCAGACAGCTCAGGTTTACCACTGCTGACAGGCAATGAAAACAGTCTAATATACCGCCTGCTCTCCGCCCTAAATCCCTTTTTGGAGCTCAAGATAAACATGCAGTTCCTTCTCCCGAGTGCTCCAGATGGCTCAGGGAAGGGGCAGAGTGTTGTGAGGGGCAGAGCAAACAGCACCCTGCTGCAGCTCCCAGAGAGCACACTTGTCACCCTGGGGCAGCAGGGACAGCGTGGCCCCTGGCTGCAGCCCCCAGCACCTTCTGTGTGACACCTATGTCCACACGAGTGCAGGGGGAGGGATGTGTGACAAGGGCACACGTGAGCTCCAAAGCAGAGCCTCTCTTAAGCACAGTCCAAAGGCCAAGCAAGTGGCTCCACTCCCCAGTGCAGAATCTGAGCAGCCAAAGAATTCAAGATGCTGTCTTCCAGGCACGCTGCTGGGCCGGGTGCTGGTCCCCCAACCTGCTGCTGCTCAGGGCTCTTCTGTCTTCTCAGGGATGACCACAGATCCTGCCAACTTGCTTCACACATCCAGCTGCAGACTGAATTGGGTGCCAGAGGTTAAAAGGCACCGAAGGGCCAGCCAGCTTATAGACTATGATCATTGGGCTTGAGAAAAAAATGAATGCAATAGCTCATCCATTCAGCTCTGCTAACCACCTCATCTCTGACCTCAGAGGACTACATTTTTAAAGGCTGACAAGTAATTCAATCTCCAATTAACAATCTTAAATGGTGCAATGCATATTGCTGTATAAAGGTTTCTGCAAGAAAATATCCAAGGGTGAATGAGAACACAGCTGCTGGAGAAGTCCAGGATGGATGCTCCTGCAAGGAGAGGATTCAGATGCTCCTCAGTGAGACACACGGTCAGCAGATGCAGGAGTGGATTTAGAAACGTTGCTAACTCAGTTAGGCAGGAAATACCAGGAACAAACCCACGTGTGAAAAGCCTACACAGGATTAAACCCTGTATTGGATCTGATCAGGACCTGTCACAAGGGTAAACTTCAGTCCCTGAGAGTTTGGGTCTGCCCCGGGGGAACACTGAGCCACACAGAGTGGGAGGTTAACAAGGGAAAGCAGCACTAGCCCAAGGCTCATAGAAGGCATCTGTTTAACCACCAAACATGTGCACAGAAGGGTTAAGTTTGCAAAGCAGGCCCCTCCTAGCAGAAAGGTCACTGGCACTCCAGGGAACAGTCAAAGATGCAGCTATCAGAGTCAGCTGCCACAGACCAGAGATCAAGAAAGGTCCAGCACGAGGGGTGGGAAAGAACAGGTTCCAGGATTTTAAAGCTGAGATACACAATACACATATACCTGAATACTGGCAATATTTGACCTCTGATCTTGTGCTTCATCTGGTGGCAAAAACAGACAAAAAAAGCAGCCATGAGCAGCAAAGCATCACACAGTAAGCTGCTGGCACCAGACATGTTGCTTTAAATAAGAGTTCTTTCCACTCCATGAAAGCTCAGAAACCACATTTCTGTCCACCCAGCGTCTGCCGTGCCACCAAAGGAAGCTGCTGTGGGTGACTGGCCCTACAGAGATCCTAAACTTGCCCCTCCTGAGGTCCCTGGTGAGGACCCCTCACTCACATTGCTGCTGCTCCCCTGCACACGATGCCAGTAAAGCAGGGCTGCCACCACCTACCCCGTGTGTTTGGTGCCAGCCAGCCTCCCAGCCACCTGGGATCCACCCATCCCAGCTCGGATGTGGATGAGCTGCTCAGTGTCCCTTCCTTTGCTCCTGAGGACAAACCTCCTGAGGATGTAGAAAGCAGGGCACACTGGGCAGAGCACAGCCTCCCTGCTCCCAGCTCAGCGAGAGGAGCAGGACACCACCGAAGTGCTCAGAAGGCAACAGGCTGGTGCCAGAACTGCACATGGTCAAGCTCAGCCCATGACTGGAAGAACACACACCATTTCCCAGATAATGCAGCCTTTGATAGCAGATGCTTACAAAACACAGGGGCAGTACCCTCAACACTTATTCCATTCGGCTCTCCACAGGCCACTCTCCCAACAGCAAGGGAAAGAGCATCTCTTTTTCCTTCAGAGGATCGTTTGGGAAGTACAAAGGAGAGGCAGGATTCTAGCAGCCTTTTCAGCCTTTAAAAGACTGTCCTCAACAGGTTTATAGGCATGTCATATGCATATTAATCATTTTCCAGCACTCAAACCCATGATGACCAGCTGCTTTCTCCGTGCTCCTTTTCAAAACCTGAGCTGCTAGTTAGTTGAGACACTCACTGCAAAGCTGCTTTGGCTGCAAACTTGATTGGCTCATATGTTTCATCAAAGATGAAAGATCTGAAAAAATGACAGCAGAGGGCTTCAATGGGAATCATTATGTAACATAAGTGCTGTTATTATTCAGAGCATATCATGTGTTTATATCAAATATAAGTGCCAGATTTTTATCCGAATAATTTCAATAATTGCAATTCCCATCCCACCATTTATATTATCTGCCAGAAACCTGAAGCAGAAAAGGCACATGCACATCCTATAAATAGCCTATTTTTCATAAACAGGCAGAAATGATCAAAATGAATGTCTCATCAGAAAACACAATGTGGGAACTTAAAACCTGACTGCTATTATGTGCAGTCAAGCCTCAACAGATCCTGCAGCGTTCATTCCTACCACTCAGCTCTTCCCCCACATGTATCGTGTCAGCAGAGGGTAAAACAGCAGCAAGGGATGAGGACCAGGCTGAGGTGGGATGGCAGCACTCCCGAAAAGAGCCAGCCTGGCCTCCTGAGCCTGCTGGGATCCTCAGACACCTCCTCTCTCTGCTCCTTGCATCCCTCATCCGGGACCGTGCGTGGTGCCTGCACTTCTAATTTACGAGCCTTCGGTGGGGGACCCTTCTGACTTGGGAACATATTGGCTCGGTCTAATGCTTGGAGATTATTAAAGTCAGAGCTATACTCCACTATCAAGTCTACAGATCTTTTATTTAGAAGATATGGTGCTCTAAATGCACAAAGAGCTCCCCGTCACCTTCACATTAAAGCCCCTAGTGCCTGGTAAATGGAATTATATAGCTGTCATCTCCTTTCCCCAAAGTTTTAAGAGTACAATGGGCTCATTTT